CAAGCGCTCTACCACTGAGCCACCTTCCCAGCCCTCCTCCAATATTTGATCTTTTCATCCTTAATAATATAGTGCCTGACATTTTCTTTTCTTTTTGCTAATACTGGGGCTTGAACTCTGGGGGGCCTGGGCACTGTCCTTGAGCCTCTTTATGCTCAAGGCTAGAGCTCTACTACTTGAGCCACAGCACCACTTCCGGCTTTTTTTCCCCCCTGTGGTACTAAGGGATTGAACCCAAGGCTTCATGCATGATAGGCAAGCACTCTACCACTAAGCCACATTCCCAGACCCATGCTGGCATTTTCTAAGTACCTGCCTCATAGCTGGTATCATTTTGAAGCAGCAGGATGTGTATTAGACCAGATGACACTTGTAACAGCCCTGTAAGGAAGATTCTATACCTGAATTACCTATGGATGAAATGAGACACAGGAATGTTAATACATCTTTGCATGGTTCACATCCCTGCAGCCTGGCTCTGGGCTGAGCATCCGTGGGCAGTCTCTTAGCACCTAGCACCAAGGAGGCTTTTAGAGAAGAAAATCGGGGTCTTGTTTTGTGCTGAATTCACAATTTCCTGAATGATGTGACCTTGCTGGCCATGCATTCTTGAGGTGGCCACGGATACACCAAAGGGTCTTACAAAGGTTAGTGGCAGCAGCGGCATGTCTGATATGTTGAGTGTTTCGTAAGCCTGGCATTGCTCTTGTAATTAGAAAAGGCAAAACAATCAATTTGTTTTATGTTGAAAGAGTTTCCCAGGCAGATTAAAATAGGCAGCCCAGGATGTAGAAACAATAGGTACCCAGAACTTGGCTTTCAGGAAAGTTAAGTAGTGTTACCTTTTTCCAAATTAGTTGGTTGATAGGTTTTCAGTAACATAGGGCTTCTGTGGTTACATGCTTTAAAGGAAACAAAATGGTTTAATTTTTTAAAAGAAATGTGTTTAGGTTTATTGGCTACTTGAATTCCCCAGGCTAATTTTTTTTTCCTGTGCAGAGATTTAATTGAACCTGAGGTCTTGACATGCTAGACAAGTGCTCTATCACTAAACTATACCCCTAGACCCTAAAATAAATTCTAAGTGTGCAAGTAGAGGAGATGCTGCATTTGCCATGTTTATAGAAAACAGTGCCAAGACACTGAGAGTCAGGAGACCTGGCTCCCTCTCCTCTCCAGGCTGCCGACAGGCAGTGTCCTGGTCACCAGTCAGAACTCTTGATGCCTTCATTACCTGAATAGAAAAGATGATGATATTAAATGTTGAACACTCACTCCGGGCCAGCCTTTCGAATAAGCACTGTTACAATTTCATTTCCCTCTTTTCTGCCCTTACCTACAATGACAGTTTAACCAGCCAGAGGCTTCTGGACCTCAAATGTAAACTGAAGAAGCGCAAGAGCTGATGGGGTGGCACAAGCCTGTAATTCTAGCACTAGGGAGACTGAGGCAGGAAGATCGTGAATCTGATGCCAGCTTGGCTAAATTGGGAGACACTGATTCAAAATTACCTGCATGCATGCGTGAGCGTGTGCACACACACACACAACGGTAGAGAGTTTGGGGACCTTGCAGAGCCAAAATCCTGCAATGTCCATCCTCCTATCTCTGCCTTGGGTTCATACCCCCTGCAGTCCATGGGGTAGGGCCAAACCAAAGCCAGATGGCCAAACCAGAGCTAGCTACCTTGGAGACCAGGTGTGGGCAGGAAGGAGATTTAAAGGCTGACAGCTGCTCTGGGAAGGGCAGTGCCTAGCTGACAAATGAGAATCGAGGAGCCTAGAGTCAGCCTTCTAGATGGCCGGAGGAAGGGAACTCACAGGACCTTCTGGATAGCAGCTACTTTACCTACCTGTTCAGAAATATGCCAGCTTTTCAGTTGATTCTGGATGACCAGTGGACATGCCAAAATACCAGCCCTGTGTTAGAAGCCTTTTCTGAAGTCCCTTGGCTAGCAGTTCTTCTCTTTTTGCCTTTTGAGCCAGAGGTTTTGATCCTAGTTCAAATGTAGATTCTCCTCGTGAGTCTGATCCTGTCACCGCTGCTCATCACTCAGAAGTCACACTGACCAGGGATCCGAATGCTGGTGTCACCCCACAGATGGAGCCCGGGGAAAAGAAAGGGGGCCTTTTGGGCATCTGACAGATGTGCACTGTGCGGCTACTATGTGCCAGGCCCAGTGAAGGGGTACAGGACACATCAAAGGGGGATCAAAGGACCACAGACAAAACAACATGTGGTGTAAGAGACTCACAGGGACCGCTTGCTCACCCCCATTGAGCAGCAGTGGAGATCTAGAAGCACTGAGCATGGAGGCCTGGGTTCTGTCTGGTATTCTCCATGCCCAGGGTAGCCACCTGTGTTGCCAAACCTGGTGTCTTTACTGCTGTTCCTGTCATAGATCCTATGGGCGCCCCAGCCCAGGACCAGGGCTTCCTGGAGCAGGGCGTGGAGCAAGGAGTGGAACAGAGGAGCCATTGAGCTACCCACAAGAGCTGCCACCTGGTTGCCCCATGGGCAACTGGCGAATGGCGCTAGGAAAGCCCATGCCAGCCTGGGATGGGCTGTGGCTCTAGGCACAGACCCAAAACTCCAGAGAGAAACATTATACTACGCATGGCTCTGATCAGACCGGGCGAGGAAAGACGAAGGGCCTGTGTGGATTGGAGACAGGGAAGGGGCATCAGGGGGCTTGGACCAGGAGTGTCTCTTCATCCCCGTGAGCAGCTTCTGGGAACACAGACTCACTTGGGGAGACTTAAGTCCCCCTTTATGACTGCACCCCACCCAGAAGCATTCTTCTTCCCCTGAATAAACTAAGACAAATGCTTCCTTTGTCCATTTTCCTGTCTTCTATGAACAGATTTAACATAATGACTGACAGCGTTCAGGCTCTGTGTCCAGCCCCCAGGAAGCTCAGTCTGAAGGAGATCCTGAGTAAAACAAGCATTTACCACACAAGGTGATCACAGGCCAGCCCAGAGGCCCTGTATGGGCCTGAAGGGTGGAAGGAAGTGTTTAGAGGGGTTCCAGAAGGACTTTCTGAAGAAAGAGAAGAATGAGTGAGGATTGGCCAGTTGTGGAGGAACAGGAAAGTGACACGGCAAAGAGAAAATGGTTAAGAAAGAGTCCAGAGTTTTCCCGAGAACACTGAGCTAGGATGGGCAGAGAGAAACAAAGAGGAAAGGTAGAACTTAAAGTCGCTTTGTGCTTTTTCTCAAAGCCCTGGAAAGCTGGTGTGAGGTTTAAAGTGTCAGGGGAGTCAGACGCTATTGAGAAGCTTCCACGAGTGACGGGCGTGGACAGGCAGAATCCCCAACAGCGGACAGGCTCTGGAGCCCCCTGGGCTTAGGAGTAAGCGTGTGGATGCCATTGGTCTGTGTAGAAGCAGTGTATATGTAAGTGAGTACATTTCTTTTCTCTGCTCCTGGAGAAAAGAAGAACACCAAGGGCGAAGAGAAAAGGGGTGGTGATGGAGTAGAGACATTTTTCTAGTGCCTCCTGTATGCCAGTGAACCCCAGACTAGTAGATGGTGCTACAGATGGGGTGGTACGAGATGGTGGTCTCAGGCAGAGACGTGAAGAGGGAGGTGAAGGAGCTGAAAACCTGAAGGAAAGGCTGGTAGAGGCCACTAGAATGTGCTTCAGAGGTTGCTGGAGGCCAACAGAGGTTCAAGGAATACGCTGAAGGGACCCTTGAATTAGGATTAGTTCCTTCTGTTCCTCTGTCCGTGTCTTCCTTTGTAGCCCAGGTTGGCCTCAAAACTCTCAATCCTCCTGCCTCAGCCTCCTGAGCTCTGGGATGACAGACAGGAACCACCCTGCCTGGTGTCCTTACTAAGGGGAAGGGGGTGGGTCCCCATTCCCAAATGCTCTCACTCAGAGTGGTTCCCCCCAACAGCTCTCCAAGGCCTAATCTACTTTAGAACAAATGCCTAGCATTGAGTAGGGAGAAAGGCAGGTTTTCCTCACACCACCACCGTCCCAGGGGCCACTCCTAGTGGCCTAGAGCTCTAGGGTGCTGGTGGCTCTAGATGGGCTGGGCTCCGTCTCCCCAGGAAAAACCAGTGCCCAGCTTGGAGAAAGGCTCTATTGTCTCCAGTGGCTGCCCCACCCCCACCCACCCACCCCCAGCCTCAAGCACCTTGGGCGCCTTGCAGGACGTGGAACTTGTGGTTAGCTCTGCCTTGACTGGAAGCAAGGACAGAGGGGTGGCTGTGAGCCACTGTGTGGGAGAGACAGACAGCTTGGGACATAGAGGACTAAGGCCTTTCCTGTCCCTGTCCCCTGGAAGCCATGGGGATTTCAACAGGGCCTCAAAGCTACCCGAACGCATATTTCTTCCTGGTCAGCCCAGACACCCACTGGTGGCAGATCTGACGGTTCTTTGCACAAATTGCATAGCTTCCAATCCTGAGTCCCTCACTTAAGCAAAGCGGTCTTGGGGCCTCCTGTTTCTGTAAATGGGGATAATGATGCCCATGTGACAAGGACCCTTGTGCAGGTCAAACAGACCAAGTGGGTGCTCACCATTCCTTTCTGCCAAGAGGAGCAGCAGTATTGTGGAGCACACTAATCTCTTAAGTTCTCTCACCATTCTCGGCTTGCTACTTGAACTCTCCTAACACCTTAGTAACCATTCCTCCGAATTAATTCCTGCCTTTGAACCACCACCTGGTGTAGACACGTGTTCTTCTTGGACAGTAAGACCCTACAGTAAGTAGCTTCTTCCTGGCTATTTAGCCTGGCATATGGCCCCGAGACACAACATTTGCAGAGAAGAGAGATGTACCATTTTGGCAGTTGACTAGAAGTAGGGGACTCTGCGAAAGAAGAGCCATAATAATAGCCTGGTCCCCGTCCAAGCCCCAGAGCCCATCCTAGGGGAGTTAGCTGGGCTCCCAGTCCAACACAGCTTTCCCAGGACTCTCGTTCCTGTGGTCAGTTAGGGAAGATCCGAGCTGTCTGAAGCCTGTTGCCTTTGCCCTCCTCCCACAGTTGGCAATCCTAGAAGACTATGCGGACCCTTTTGATGCTCAGGAGACTGGTGAAGCCGCCTCAGGTGCTCCAGGGGCCCCAGAGAAGGTGCCTGAAAATGATGGCTACATGGAACCCTATAAGGCCCAAAAGATGATGGCTGGTGAGTGACAGGGGCGGAGGAGCTGCTCCCTGAGGCGTAGGCTCTGCAGAACAGACTCCGGGACTCATACATCTTCAGGACTACTTTCCTGGAGAAATACAGAGAAAGCCTTTGCCAGATCCCTGGCAAGATGGCCCCTGCATTTAAGATAGAGTCGTTTCAGAGACCAGAGCAGAGACTCATTGAAACTTGAGGCCTTAGAGGAGGTCATGCAATTTAAAGTCAGGTAGAAGCATTTGAGATAGTTAGGAATGGCAAGGTTGAAGCATGGGCTAGAAAGCAAGGATCCCCAAAAGAGGAGCGCTAGCTAGCTCTGGGGAAGAGTGATAAGGTTCAGATGACCTTGCGCTAAAGTGAAACAGGTTTGGACAACTAGGAATAGGACTGAAAACATAGATAACCATAGGAGCCATGAAATCGTTCAGAATTAAGGAGATCCTTGGGGATCCGAAGCCAAAGGAAGATCCAGGGAAAGAGTTCACGTGGGTGTGGAGGAGGGTGATCAGAGAGGACAAGAGCAGATATGTGGAAACCAAAGCCCCAAACAAGCTGAAAGGAGGGATGGTAGGGAAGGGATGGTCATACTTGAGAGCTGAGATGAGCAAGACCAAGAGGGCACAGGGAAGCACTCTGAAAACTGCAGCGAAGGATTTGGATTTGCTCCAAAAGGGGAAATGGACTCATTATAAATTCCTAAGCAAGAAAGACTCAGAATTAATGTGACATTTTAAGAGGATTACTGACGTCTTGGTGTGCAGAATGGACTAGAAGAACCACACATCAGAAAGTTGAGTGAGCAGGCTTTTTGTGGAAATTGTTGGGGGTTCTTACAAGGCCAATAATTAAAGACCTCTTTCTTCCTCTTCTGAACTTGGAAATAACTGAGATGTAAGATTAAGGAAACAAACAAATGGAGATTAAAATGCCAACTCTGTTACTGACGGAGAATATTTCTTAGTTCTGTGACTACAGTGGGTGACAGAATTGAACTTGCCCTCTTAAGGCTTTGGCAATTCAGGGAAGCGATGGGGCTCTTGCGTGGGGGCAGGCCATTCACTGCATAGAAAAGAAAGAACTAGAATTGTTCTGTCTCTGCAAGGAGGCAGAGCTGAGGAGGAGGATGAGCATTTGCTAGGCCAGCCAGTAAGTTGCAATTCCCCTATGGTGGAGAGCCCTGAGGACTGTTATTCTGTTGGAGTCCTGGAAATGTGAGTCTGTGCTCTAGAGGTTTGCTCTGACAGTGATCCAGATGGGAAGACATGAGAGCGAAGAATGAAGTTAGGACCAGGTCCAAGGAGAACAATGTAATGCTCAGAAATGGAACTAAGTGAGAAAGTGGTCACCACTGAGGTCAGAGGGGTGTTGTACCACCAGTGCCCAGCAATTAAATGTGGATTTTATTTATTTTTTTGTTGGTCATGGGACAGCTCAGGTGTTGTCCCTGAGCTCTTCAGCTCAAGGCGTGCACTCTACCACTTGAGCCACAGAGCCACTTCTGGTTTTCTGATGGTTTATTGGAGATCAGAGTCTCACAGACTTTCCTGCCCAGCCTGACTTTGAACTGTGTTCCTTGGATCTCAGCCTCCTGAGTAGCTAGGATTACAGGTGAAGCCACCGGCACCCACCCAAATGTGGAAAATTTTGAGCACACATTTTTCTGGAGAATAGATCCATCGCTTTTTTACCAGATTCACTTTTGAGGACAGTGATCCCCAAAAGCAAATCACTAACTATAGAAGGTGGTGAGTTTGAAACAGCGCGTTGACATCTTTGTTTATGGCCACGGGAATGAGACTAGAGATGGAGATGCAGCGGATGATTAGGAAACAGAGGCCAAGATCCAGGGGGAAAGACCGAATGGGAGTGATGAGAGAGAAGACAGTTCGTGAAACTACTTGTCAAAAGGAAGTTTCAAGAAGTGGGTGGCCAGCAGTGTCTGAGCAACAAAGATTTCCTACTTGTGAAATGATATCGCGATATCATGGGAATGAACGTAAGTGAAAGGTAAATGACAGGTAGGTAGGTAGGTAGGTAGAGGTAGATAGAGAAGGACAAGGAGATGTATTACGGGGGAGGATGTGCCTCAGTTTCCCTAACATGTCAACCTCAGCTTCCTTGATTTTACTAGTCATCACGGGATTCTTTTTCTCTTTGTCACTTGTCTGCCCCTAATTCCCTTTTCTCCGTGCTGTTAAGAGTCCTGGAAGTGTTTCCAGGACAAGGGATTCAGGATGTGTGGCTGTAGAACTCCCCCAGAGCCGGAGCATCTCCTTGGAAGGAAGCCTGGCTCGTGGCAAAAGATAGCTGCCAAAGGTGGGGGGAGGGGGGCATGGCCGGGTAGCTAGGCTTAGCTCATACCTCTCCCTCTTGTGCCCTGGTAGAGATCCGGGGCTGTAAGGAGATGACAGCTCAGCCCTTGCCCTTGTACGATACACCCTATGAGCCAGAGGAAGAGGGAGCCACCCCAGAGGCCGAGGGGTCCCCCTGGCCTCGGGAATCCCGCCTGCCTGAGGATGATGAGCGGCCCCCCGAAGAATATGACCAACCCTGGGAGTGGAAGAAGGAGCGGATTTCCAAAGCCTTTGCAGGTGAGATTGGGTGAAGCATAGGAGTGGATCCCGGGGACTACGCAGCAGGACAGCGAGTTCCAAAGCACAGAGAATCGGGGACTTAGGAGACAGACAGAGCATGCCAGGGAGTAGCAGGCATGGGAGAATGGGCAGGGCATTTCCCTGGCATTGTCACCTCTCAGAAACCAAGACGTTTGGGCTACTTCCACTTTGGGGAAACTGGGTACACTTAAAAAAAAATAGAGCAATTCCAATATGAAATGATGAAACCTGTGGCCTGTGTGAAGCACGTTTAACAAATGATAGGATTCGGGCTGGGAAGTTGGCTCAGTGGTAGAGCGCTTGCCTTGCATGCCTGAGGCCCTGGGTTCGATTCCTCAGCACCACATAAGCAAAAAGAAAAAAGCCAGAAGTGGCGCTGTGGCTCCAGTGGTAGAGCGCTGCTAGCCTTGAGCTGAAGAGCTGAGGGACAGCGCCCAGGCCCAGAGACCGGACCCAGAAAAAAAAAAAAAAAAAGATAGGATTCAACACTTCAAACGATGGAATAGCTGTGTGTGTCACCTGGATTCTAGAGCTGTGTCTCCCAGTGGCAGACTATGGGTATCTGGCCCATGGCATCTCAGAATGGAATCCCGATTGCTGAATAAAGATCAGGTTTCTCCTGTCCTAACCATACTGTCTCTGCCAGGCCTATCCTCCATGGAAAAGTACATAAGTGCACTCTGACACGGGGAAAATAAGAGCCACTAGTTGGGAGAGAGCATCATTCAAGATTGAAGTCCTGAATCCGGAGGAATTAAGTGCCGCCTTGGACTTGGTGGGTGGGAGAGACACTCCTCCAGCAGCTGCCCCACCCTGGGCAGCCAGACAGAGGGGAACCTCAGGTTTCTGATTGGCTTCCAGTAAAAAACCGAGTACCATTGAGGATGGGCCATTTATCTCCCGAAGTCTCCTTGGAGAATCAATACTGTTTGGGTTGCTTAATGGGAAAATCTATGCTCATCATTAGCAAACCTCGTTAGCAGGCCCACAGCCGCTGTGGTAGCCTCACTCTTCTCAGGATCCAGGGGCAAGATTCAATTGCAGAACAACCCATCTGCCTCCAACTTGAGTGTTCCTGACAACCTGAGCCTCCATGACTGCCCATGACTTCCCAGCTTGGGGAGGAGGAGAAGAGAAAGGGAGAGAGAGAGAGACAGAGAGAGACAAGGTTGGAGCAGGGTGGGAGGGGAGGTGCTAAGAGTCTGTGGACAGACCTGAGTGTCCTTGTGGGAAATGGGAGTAACTCCTACTCCCATTTGGCTAGCTGTCCTGATCTCTTTGGACCCTAGAGGGTTAAGGAAGGGGGCGATCCACGGGCTGGCAGAGCAAAACTCGGGGCCCTGCTGGTCCCCGCCTTCCCCCCACCCCAGGTTTTGACCAAGCCACCGTGCTGTGCTTGGTCAAAGTTGTTGACTGCACTCAATCCTCTCAAAGTTCTGTTGCTCCCCAGAAGCTGTCCTCCCCTCTGCTTCAGCACCTCCTCTTTTTTTTTTTGTTGATCGTGGGGCTTGAACTCTGGGCCTGGGCACTGTCCCTCAGCTCTTCAGCTCAAGGAGAGCGCTCTACCACTTGAGCCACAGCGCCACTTCTGGTTTTCTGGTGGTTCATTGGAGAGAAGAGTCTCACAGACTTTCTTGCCCCGGCTGACTTTGAACTGTGATCCTCAGATCTCAGCCTCCTGAGGAGCTAAGATGACAGGTGTGAGCCACCGGTGCTTGGCTCAGCTCCTCCTCTTTTCTAGGCTGTTCTGTGTCCTGGCTCTGGGTTTTAGTGTCTCAACTTCTGCCTCTGTCTGTCTACCTCTGTCACTTGTCTTTCTCTTCTCCCTTTGCTACTGGCTCCAGTTGACATAAAGGTCATCAAAGACCTACCTTGGCCTCCGCCTGTGGGACAGCTGGACAGCAGCCCTTCCCTGCCAGACGGGGACAGGGACGTCTCCGGTCCAGCCTCACCCCTCCCTGAGCCCAGCCTGGAGGACAGCAGCGGTGGGTCTCGTGGGGGTGGTTCTGACCAGCATGACATGTCCTCGTGAGGCCCCTTGGGGCTTGGGTTGGGGATGCTGAGAGGTGGAGAAGGGTTGGAGAACCCAGGAAGAATCGATCCCTCTTGTCATGGTAGGAGGAGGATGAGGCAGACTGTCTATGGAGCGATGGGGGAGGTAACTGTGAAGGGAGGCCTTACGTCCTCACCAGGCCACAAAAGTCCACTATTTCAAATTCACCTCTTTTGTCAGTTGGGGGGCTTGAACTCCGGGCCTGGGCGCTGTCCCTCAGCTCTTCAGCTCAGGGCGAGCATTCTTCCACTTGAGCCACAGCACCACTTCCAGGTTTTCTGGTGGCTAATTGGAGATAAGAATCTCACAGACTTTCCTGCCCGGGCTGGCTTTGAACCACAATCATCAGATCCCAGCCTCCTGAGTAGCTGGTATTACAGGCGTGAGCCACCGGTGCCTGGCTTTAGGTAGATCTTTGTCTAACAGTGCAGGGTATACTCCAGAGGGGGGGTGGTGAAGGGTGCTGGCACTGAAGAAGGTCTGATCCTGGTTATCTGGTGATTGAAAGAAAGAGAGAGAGAGACCAAATTCTTCCATCTCCGCTCAGCTTTACCCAGAATGGGCACTCAGTTGTAGGGGGGGGGGCATCCGTGTGTGTGAGCATGTCTGTACACGTGTGCATGAGAGGGTCTGTCACCTGTGCATGGGCGCCTGTGGGAAGTCACTCCCCGCGGTGGGTGGGGGAGGGGAGCCTGTGGGCAGCGACCTTGGGCGCAGGATGACTGGCTGTCTGGCGGCTTTCGGCAGGATTAGCCTGTCAGGATGGCACCAAGGGGAATCGGATAATTGTTCTCAGATCAATAAGTCATTTCTACAGAATGGCTTGGCAGGCTGATTTGGAGAACGGTAATGAACTCTGAGGAGGAGAAAGAAACAATATTATCAGCCCTGAAGCCACCCTGGGGGGGATGGGAGAAGGGATGGCCAGCAGCTGCTCCTGAGGGAGCCGCTTAAGTGGTTTCTGGTGTTTTCTCTCCTTCCTCCCTCCCCTCTCACAGCGACGGGAGGCCGCAGGGCCCTGGAAGCTGAGCCCTGCCCCCACCCCAGCAGGGGATGGGCCCAGGGTTGCGTGTCCCCACTGTCCCCACAGTCAGGTCGTGAGCTTAGCTTGCACTGCCCTCGCAGAACATGCACTGCACCTCCTTTGGGAGCTGGAGGAAATAGGGCGCCGGCTATTCCGACAGGACACCAACTGCAGAGTCCTCAGAATCCACGACCCCTCTCTTCCCCTACAGCCCAGTTTGAAGGATCCGAGAAGAGCTGCCTGTCACCTGGCCGGGAGGAGAAGGGGAGACTACCTCCCCGACTTTCTGCAGGGAACCCCAAGTCAGCCAAGCCCCTAGGCACGGAGCCCAGCAGTCCCCTGGGCGAGTGGACAGACCCAGCGCTGCCACTGGAAAACCAGGTGTGAGTGTCTGTGTCCAGGCGGGGACACCCCCTCTCCCTTTTTTTTTTTGGTCCCCTTTCTGGCACTGGCTTCCCTGTGGGGGGGATATGCCCAGAATGGGGGTGGGGGAGGGGACCTGGCTGGAGAGGGACTCAGCAGAGATGCCCACCCCCCCCCTCTTCCCTCTCTCCCATCCTCAGCTGGTACCACGGGGCCATCAGCCGAACAGACGCCGAGAATCTGCTCCGGCTGTGCAAAGAGGCCAGCTACCTGGTGCGAAACAGTGAGACCAGCAAGAACGACTTCTCTCTGTCCCTCAAGTGAGTGGGGCCAGCCATGGCTGGAGTTGCACAGCTGGCAGGGCGGGAGGGGATGCCAGTGTTCCTGCGGGAGCATGCCATCCCTTGTGAATGACTTGTGACTGCACAAAAGACATCGGGGGGGGATCCTGAGACTCAGCCTCCTTCCCCCCCCAGAAGGCTTCTGTCATTGGCTGAATGGCCTGGGGCTCCCCCTTACTGTGTCTAGGCCTCCTCCTTCCTTATAACTTGGAGTAAGAGTCTCCATTTGACAGGCAAGAATGAAGTAACACCCAATCAAGTGCTTCACACCAGGCTGAGCGCTTAACAAATTGTCTCCATCATCATTGTTCATGGAAGCCCAAGAGGTTCTAGAAGTTGACAAGGAGAAAAGAGCTTTGCCTGAGGGAAACTACAGGGATGAAATGGGGTGCTGGGCGCTGGGAGGAGGGCAGGACCGTGGACACAAAGCCATTCCCCTTTGAGGGTCTCGGCATGCGCGTGGATGCGTGCATGCACATGTGTGTGTGCAGGGAAGAGGTCTGAGCTTTAAAGGCTGTGATGGCCAGCGCTGTCCCTGGCTCTCAGTCTCTCTGCTCCTCAGGAGCAGATATGCACAACCCTATGCCTCCTATCCATTCCTAGCAGAATGACCAGCCCTCTTAGCAACCAGGAATTCTGCCTGGTAGAGCTACACCCCACACAAGACAGGCTGGAGTGAGGTATCCATTTACCTCTGGAGCTCTAATCACTTCCTACCACATTCATTGGGAGCATTAGATAACCACTACCAATCCCCTCCACCCCCCCAAAAAAAATCTGAGGACGAGGTTCAAAGCCAGCCCGGGCAAGAAAGTCTGTGAGACTCTTATCTCCAATAAACCACTCAAAAACCGGAAGTGGCACTGTGGCTCAAGCAATAGTAGAGCACTCGCCTTGAGCTGAAGAGGGCAGGGACAGCACTCTTCAGAACCCAGAGTTCAAGCCCCATGGCCGACCAAAAAAAAAAAAATCCAATCTATGGAAATATGGAACTGTTAGACCACATTATTGGGGAGATGATTATTCAGCTTTCCTAAAAGAAAACAGACAAGGCACCAAACTATAGTTAGACACCCTTGGGTTTGATAAAAACTAGCTGGGTGACCCTAGGCAAACCACTTAACTTTTGGAGCCTTGGTTTCTCCACAAAATGGGTTGGTAGTTATCTCTTAGATTTCTTCCTCCTGCTCTCCTTGCCTAGCAAATTGAATTATTAAAAAAGCATGGGAGCATTTTGGAAAAATTAGTTTGTCAGCAATTTGACGTACATAACTTTAGTGGTGAATTGCTTTAAACATTATCGTTTAAATTCACGGAACATACCAAGAATCATATATCCCACCTCCTAATCAACTACCACCCTGTCAGATCTCTTTCTTTCACACCTAAAAGAGATTCAGGGATTAAGTTTTGACTTGCTCAAGATCACCAACTAATAAAGGACCCAAGCCAAACAGGGTAGCATCTGCCTATAGTCTTAGTTATTTTAGAGACTGAGGTTGGAGGATCCCTTAAGCCCAGGAGTTCAAGGCTAGCCTGGGCAATGTAGCCAGACCCTATCTGAAAACACAGCATACAGATAGTAAGAGGCAGAGAGAGAGAATATGATAGAATACAGATAGGGAGGACAGGGGAAGGTTGGAGGGAGAGACACAGACAAGAGAGACAATACATTCACATATTAAGCCCTCAGATCCAGGGTTTAGGCTCAATCTGACTACAAGAGCCACACTGTTCAGTTGCAGGGCTCCACCCCTTAGCGGGGGCAATGCCTGTGATCCAGAGTTGCCAATGCCAGGGGAGATGCCAGCGGTCTGGCTCCCTGGAGTGGAACTGAGCAGGCCTTGCCTTAGATCGACTGATCTGGCCTGGCCAGCAGCATCAAACTGCAGGGGCCTCGTTTGCATATAAATGGCTTCTCTGAAATACAATTATGGTTTCTCTTCTCTCCCTAATGGAAGGGCTTTCACTGGTAATTAAACAGCTTCCTCAAAGAGCCTTGCCAGTCCCAGCCCTGTGGTCCAGCTGGTCCCACCCAGCTCCCTGAGGACTTGGCAGAGACCTTTAATAATGGACTCTTGGGACCCGTAGGGAGGTGGGGGTTTGAAGTGCACCGCCATCCTCTCCTCAGGAGCTCAGTACCGCTGTGTGCCCAGACCCCTGTTGCCCTTCTTGGCTTAACTCTGTCCATTGACAAGAAAGTCTTAAGGTGCAGTTTGGGAAGAGACAGTTTTCCCAAGTAGACTGTGGGGAAGGGGTCAGTTTCACACTGGGAAACGGTGAGGCCCACACTACTTCCCACAGCTTTCATCCTGGGCCTTGGCATGGGGCAGGTGAGGGAGGGTAGCAGTTCCATTGCCTCTCCACGGCCTACCCACCCCAGGGCCCTTTGGCAATCTTCCCCTGGGCCTGCACGGTCTCTGTCAGCCCCAGGCACTATCTCAGAGGCACAGGTGGTCCCACACCCTGCTACACACCCAGCCTTCTCACCCCGGGGGCTACTAGGCTCCCAACAAGGCTTCTGATTGGGAGGGGGCAGGAGTAGGACTTAGAGGCTTGTGAATTTCCTCTGTCCCTTTCTTCCCTCCAGTCTCCCCCCATTCACTTGTTGCCTAGTGAGGTGCATCCAAACAGGGGAGGCAGGGGCAAGAGGTTTGCCAGCCCCATCAGCCTCACCTCTCAGAAGGAAGGGGTTGTGCTCAAAAAAGGCCCCCTTGTGGGTCCTATTTTGTACCCGTCTCTACACCCAGCCCCTGTCCCAGGTGAGCTGGGGCCAACAGCAGAAAAGTCAAGCTTCAGAGTCCCTCCAAACACTTCCTTCCCTCTTGCCTGAGGGCTTCAGATGGGGTTTTGGAGGGGGTCTGGCATACTAAGCCTGAGGTTTGGATAAATGTTCTTGCTGGGGGCTTTACCACTCTAAGGGATGGGGAGCTGGCAGGCGCCGGGTGCCATGGACCTCTAATGCCCATTTCCTTGGGTTGTTGTGGGAGAGGTGGTGAAGTGAGGCCTCCCTGGGGAAGGAAACGGAGCTACCGCCTCGAAAGATGTGATGTCATCCTAAGCAGAAGGGTTGGGCCCAAGGCCCAGATAGCAAAAGGGTAAAGGGGTGTCCCAGGGGGCGGCTGAACATTCCCAGATTTGAGGTTGCTTCCAGATTAACTTGTTTTCTCCCCAAGTCCATGAGAGAGCCCCAACCGAGACGAGGTGGTGGTTGCATGTGTCCACCCATCGTCTGGCCCAGGGCATCTGCGGTGGCTTGTGAGTCATCAGGAGCCCCTCCTAGGCATCCGGGCCGCACAGGCGGATGGGCAGAGGTGCTGGGGTTCCCTTTCCACCTGCACACACCCTGTGCACACCCTGCACACTCACTGTGTACACACCGTCTCTCAGCACACCCAGCGTCCGCACCACAAAGCCAGTGTCTCATGCTGCTACTCATACCTCTGGACTGACCTCCATCTCCATTCACACCCCTCCTTCACACCCGCGCACGTGCGCACACACACACCCTCAGCTAGCTTCAGAAACCACCATGTCAGGTGTGGAGGTTACTGGAGGGCAAGGTGGAGGCTGGGGAGATCTCTCGACCCCCCCAAACTCACCAGAGTCTCTTCCTCTTTCCCAGGAGCAGTCAGGGCTTCATGCACATGAAGCTGTCCCGGACCAAGGAACATAAGTATGTGCTGGGCCAGAACAGCCCGCCCTTCAGCAGCGTGCCCGAGATCGTGCACCACTATGCCAGCCGCAAACTGCCCATTAAGGGGGCCGAACACATGTCCCTGCTCTACCCCGTGGCCATCCGGACTCTGTAAGATGGGAGGCCAGGGCACCATGACAGATCTGGACCCAGCCCCGTCACCTGGGATCTAGTAGATGTTGGAGACTCCTTAATTTATTCTCAAGGGCAAGGGCTACTGGGGCCTTGGAGTTAGGAGCGTGTCTGGAGAGACAGGAGAAAGCCCCTAGAGGAAGCGGACTCCAGAGCCTGCTGGTCTCCCGGAAGTTTGCCAACTGGCAGCTGCAATCCCCTTATCCACCCTAGGGAAGAGATGGCCAGTGTTCACCACCACCCCCCTCTCCCTACTGGGTGAGCCGCCCCCTCCGACTCCATCCCACCTCTTAAATCACCCGTAGGCTTCGCCCAGCCTGTTGCCAGGGATTGTGGGGGAGGCAGACCTCCCCCACCCTGGGATAGAGATTGGGGTGGTGGTGGTGATGGTGGTGGGGTTGCCCGTTGGGCGGAGAGAAGCAGAGATCCCACTGTGGCCGAGGGATCTTTGCCGCAGTCCCTGGGCCGCCCAGGCTCCCTGCCAGAGGCAGTAAATAAATCTGATCCTGCCAGGCTGTGGAGCGTCTGCTCCTCCGGCGCCGCCCCTGAACCGAGTGGGGGAGGTGGGAGTGGGGGGGTGGAGGGGCGGGAAGCCAGCGCAGATCCTTGTTTATCCATCAGCTGCGGAGCAGACGAGGGCGGCAAGTTCTTTGATGAGATGTCAAAATAGCGCCCGCCTTCCTCCCTCCCTCCCTCCCCTCCCCTCTTCCCCACCCCATCCCCAGTGTATGGGGGAGTGGGAGGGGGGGACACTCAGCAGCCACGTGGCGCCCCCTGCTCACCGCAGCACTGAGCACACGGCTCCCCAAGAGCGTGTCCAATGTCTTGCCAACAGCCATTTGTCTGGGCGGAGCAGAGACAAAGAGGCTGCGCGCCAGGCGGAGGGGGGAGGCGGAGGGGTGGACTGCCGGGCACGGGCACCTTGGTCCTTTAAGCCGCCGTGCCCACCCGCCCCCACCCCCACCACTCCTGGCTGACGGATGGATGGGTGGGTGGCTGGGGACCCTGGAGACTTGCTTGCAGGGGAGGGGGGGGCGGTGTGACAAAGCTCTGGATGTGGGTGCGTGACGCACGCGCGCCCTCTCGTGGTCACCCCCTCCCCATGCGCCCAGGGCGCTAGGCCACCCACAGCTGGCCACAGCTGGGGCCCCCCTGCTGACATGCCTGTGGGCTCAGCCCCCAGGAATACCCACTGGGCCTCCACTGCGGAGCAGAGCCGAAGGCACAAGGCCCTGCCCTGACCCGGCCATCTGAGGACCCTCTGCCACAATCCAAACATGTGCAGGACTCTGGGAGTTTCTCATTCTGTGGCAGTGGATGAGACAACCGTAGAAATGGCTCGGAACGTGTTTCAGAAATTCCCTCTTGGCGGGTCGCCTGTCTTTTGAGTGATTGGTGAGAGAATCCAGCCACTTTTGGCTTAGGAGACAATAGGCTTAAAAGAGGTTAAGTGCGAGGCACATAACTTTGCTATCATGTCATTATGGGGAGATGACCCAGTGGTCAGCTCGCCTCGCCCAGAGAAGAGCTGGGAGCAGCTGAGGTCCTGGAAGAAGCCAGGTCAGCTGTAGCTCCCTGCGGGCTCCGGCCCGTCCTGTACCATCCATCCCGTACCATCCATCCCCTCATCCCTGCCTAGCCTGACCTCCCCCTCCCCCATTACTGTCCCTCTTCCCTTCCTGATCAGGTATCAGAGGCCTCCGCAAGAGCTCCCCTGGGAGAGGAAGGGCCTCCAGCTGGGGCATTTGGCCTTAGGCAGATTCCTTGATTCAGTGACTACTGCCAAACTTAGATGCCTGGCAAGCCGGCTGGGTGAGTAGTTTCCTGAGAGGAAGCTGAGGTCTCATCCTGTCCTGCAGCAGGAAAAAAAGAAACCCCAGAGGTAGAAAACTGATTTATTTGCAAAAGAGACTATGAGAGCAAGGAGAAAAGGGCTGAGGGACACTGTAGTAGCTGTTGGGCCAGCTATGTCTGTTTAAAAACTTGGGAGAGAATATCAGGTTGGGTTAGTTTAGATGAGTGCCAAGGACATTTCTGTATGTTGCTTTCTATCAGTCCAGACTACACATTCTGCAAAGCCTTTGCCTGCCCATTTGAACGTGAGGAACCCAGAAGAGAGGAGGAGCTTGAGGTGGGGAGGGTTCTAAGATGCCAGCATCTGTGCCTCCACTTCATCTTAGGCCTGTGGTCCCCAACACACACACACACACGTGCACACACACACACTCAAATGTCAGCTTGTCTACTGACTTTTGTTGTGGGGGTTTCTTTTTCCACTTAACCTGGGGAAGAGGTCTCACTTTATCCCAAATCAGTAGTTCTCCTACTTCCCAACCTGTAGCTCTCAAACATTTCCTCCCCACTTTGCTAGGCTGAGACATATTCTGGGCCTAAGATACCTGAGCCCACACATCACATCTGCACATGGCTGTCCAGACTAAGCTGGAGAAAGGGCGGAGGCAGCCAGAAACAGGAAGTAGAAGTCAGGTGGCAGCCAAAGCCTCTGCTCTGCTGGGTAGTGAATGGAGTCAACTGGACATTGGGCCTAGAAGTTTTCATAATGGTGGGAGAAATGAGTCCGGTCCTGTCTGTTGATGAGCTGACAGGCCTTCTCCACATCCTTGGTCATCCCAGGAGGACCACAGCTAAAGACCCCAATCTTCCGGACCTGTATCAAAAGCACAGGCGAAAACTGCTATGTTGTCCATTCACAGAGTCAGCTCAGTGTTCAGAGAGACCGCAAGGGTCAGGCGCAAGATTCAGGCTAGCTTCCCTTACATGTTCAAGACCAGCCAGAGCCAGTGTTCCTGAGGAAGGTCCGCTTGGTGCCCTGCAGGATGAGGGTTGGCTCAGTGTTTCTAATATGAGCCAGCCTCGTGTTCATGGTGAAAACCAGCTCAGGAGCCAGGGTGAGGGCTGACTTAGTATGAGCGTAGTATGGAGGTAGGTCTGCCTTTATGGTGAGGGCTAGTTTCACTTACCGAGCTTTTCTCTTGGGACAAGTCATGGCTTCAGAGTTAGTAAATCTCTTTTGCCTGTCAATTCTCCTTGTCCCTCTGGGTGACTCTTAGTACCTATCCTCTTTCTTCCTGTTACCCAACCAGACTCCCAGGGGATGCATTCTTTCCCTGGTTGAGTTGTAGAAACTTAGCACGCAGATGATTTGTAAAAGTGCGAAGCTAGCTGTGGGCCGATGGGCTGACCTGTGGGTGGACCTCCTGCAGGGAGTTGAAGAAGGGCTCAAAGGGCGGCCGGCCAAAGTGGGTGATGGAACGCAGCCCCGTGAACAGACTCCGGTTCAGCACCTTCTGGAAGTGTCGCTCACAGATGTACTGGGGGAGGGGACACGGAGGAAGATCACACAGATACCACCAGGCCCAACCCCCTCACCCAGACACGGGTTCTGCCTGCCCTAGCCTGGCCAGTCGTGACCCACCAGCATGGTGGTCCTGAGGTCGAATTTCTCAGCCAGCTGGGTGATGTAGATGTGCACAGACACCAGGTCCTGGCAGTCATTCTCCTCCACCTCCCGGATGATGTCAGCCAGCCACTCGAACTGCCTCTGGGTCCTGGTCACCCAGATGAAGTAGATCTGAGGACACACATTGGCGCTTAGGAGCCATTCCACTCAGGCTCCCTTATGTTGTAGGAAGCCCGTTTCCACCTGTGCACAGACAGCCTGTACTTTGGGGGCTACTGGGCCAGGCTTGGAGACTAGAGACAGGTTGCCCCAGGGCACAGAGAGTTGGAAGTGATAGGCTACCTGGGGCCAGACCAGTGAAGAGGGGAAGGATGGGTGGGTGGATAGGAAGCAGCTTCCTTTCCCACTCTCCACTGGACTCCATCAGGAGGCTGCCCGTCACCAGGCCGCCCAGAGGGAGCTCTTTGGGGCTGAGGGACACTTCATAGAGCAAACCAAGCGCACTAGAGTGCAGCTGCTTAGACCAGTGGGCCAGGAATGAGCCTGAAAGGAGAGCAGGTAGTAGGGACAACCTTGGAGGTTCCGGCTTTCCAAGGAGAAATGAGAAGTAGGACTGTGGGTTAAGAAGCAAAAAGGCAGAGCTGGCGAGGATAGAAAAGAGGAAGGGAGCTGTCACTTTCTGAGTGCTGACAGCATCTGGGCTGGGCATGCTGCATTCCAGCCCTCCTGACTCACCTGCCAGGCCCAGAGAGACGAGCAGGGGCCTGCCCCTGGGACCAGGCTGGAGGGAAGGCACCCCATGAATGTAGAAGGGGCTTGAAGATTCAGCAGTATTCCTGGGGATAGCCCAGCCCACTAGCCCTGCCTTGGCCACTTCCTTCCTCTTAAGAGTTCATTTCTGCCCTACCCTAAGCAAGCCTTTCTCTCACAGCCAGCAGTGCTTCTTGGTCTGGCCTAATGTGGAAGAGGGATACCCAGAAGTTGAATGAAGGCACCCCAAGAGACCAGGTGGGAGACTGTAGGCATCAATAAACCAATTATACCCTTCAGAATTCGGGGATATCCTGACACTTCCCCACCTACCTCTCCACTACCTTTTCCCAGCCAGATGCTGGTGGCTCATGCCTGTAATCCCAGCTACCCAGGAGGCTGAGATCTGATAGTAGTTCAGTACCAGTCTGTGAGACTCTTATCTCCAATAAACTACTAGAAAACCAGAAGTGACTGTGGCTCAAGTGGTAAGAGCACTTGCCTTGAACTGAAGAGCTGAGGGCCAGCGCCCAGGCCCAGCGTTCAAACTCCACACCCGACAAATAAATAAATATAAATGTACCCACTACCTTTTCCCAGATGGAGACCAGGAACAGAGGCCAGAGAGGGACCATGGGCTGCTGGGAATGAGGGCCACTCACCTTCTTACAGAGCAATTGGCAGCTGACTGATGACTTGAAAACCAGGTCTTTGAGGATGGAGGCAAAGGGGGTGACCCCAATGCCCCCTCCCACCAGCACGGACACCTCAAACTTATGCCACTCCTGGTGGCCTTCCCCAAATGGTCCATCAAGATAAAGCTGTAGGGAGGGCAGTGAGTTAGAGATCAGTTTGCTCACCGCCAGGTACCAGCCTGGTAGGGAGCCATGCAGTGAGGAAGAATCCAACAGGGATGCGAGTGGCACCTCATATTTGCAATCTAGTCTCCGGGTTCAGGGAAGGGAGGGACACGGTGGGGAGCCTGGGGTGGTTAAGCAGATGTGGGGGCATGTGGCACCTCTG